CTTGTCACGGTACACTTGTCTTTTAATTGTTAAATTAATAAAAATAAATAACGGAAACCATTTTTTTTTCGGGTAGTCGTTATCGTATCATCTGCGGTTTTGGATATGTTTTATCTACCGTGTCCGTGTTATAACGGATTTTGGGAAATTATTTTGATTGGGGAGATTTATGTGAGACTGGTTAATTACGTTCGGATATTATTTAATTAAATCATTATACATTCATGCGGCCAGTTCTCATTGTGTGTATGTTCCTTTCAAATTACTAAACGGTAATAGAAATAAAAAAAATTAAACACCAGTTACACGCAGATCGGAAGTCGAGAACGCTCGTACATAATCTGTGGCGGTGAAATTATAAAAATTGCCATATCGGGAATCGTAATAAAATATATAAAGCCGTCAAAGCCGCGTTTTAAATCGCTCGATCGAAAGAGGAAAACTCCTAAAGTGCTGTAACCGATGAGCGAGTAACGACTCAATCTACGCACATTTAAATTGCTCTTTCCGAACCAAACCTCATTACTTCCCGAAATATAACCTCTATGGAGGCAATAAATAACCCAACGGCGCGCATATTTCAAAACAACAAAAAAAAAAAATAACACATAAAATTTCTTTGCCCCGCGTCTAATGCCTGCGCATCTCCATTGTCGACAAGGTGACGTTTAAATAAAAATGCACCCGAACTACGAGTACATCCAGAGATTGTAAAACAATTCCTCTACATGTCCCTCTCTGATGAAATACTGCAACGTGAAATCTGCAATTTTTTTTGGTTATAAACTAGGAATTTTCTTCCGTAGTGGAACGTTACAAACAAAAAAGAAGTTAATAAAGTGTTGCTAAAAAAGTTATTTACAGCCGTGCCGGGGTCGGCCGTCCTTGTATCGGGGTACAAAGGAGACGCGAGTGCGTTCCGCGCATAGATTTTTGCATTATTTTAGTATGCAAATGTTCTTGTGATAGCGACTCACTGTGAGAGCTATTTAAATTATTTTTTATGGCGCCCCAGTGTATTGAGAGTTCGCCAAGTGACGGGATTACGACGCCTCGGATATTGTTCCTTTTGAATTACCGATTTCGAATTATTTGAATTTAGAACACTTCAACTCTTCCAAGATTTGAATATAGAATGTTTCTTGTTATTGTTTCGCATTCTGTTTTGTTTTTTTGTTCAATTTAAAAATTTCCTGCTGCGAATTCGAAAACATTTCTAACGGATAGAATAGTTGGAGGTAGACGAGGTATTTGCGCGGTTTAATGGAAAGTTATAAAATGAGATAAGATAAGAAAAGAAAAGAGAAGAAAAATAATAATAATTTAAGTACTTCCGACCCTCTTTAATCGTTTAAATTTACGAAATGTGCAACGAAAAATCTGATTAGCTTCGATGATATATCGCCGAGAATTCCACGCCTTAGTGCCTCTAATTTGAATATTAGACGCGTTATTGAAAAGAAAACTTTCTGAACGGCCCTTTTCAAGCTTTTAATGGTTATTGCCTCTTCTCCTGCTATCTTGTTTCCGAACGAAAAAATAATCTACGGTTCAGGTGTTCCTGAACGTTATTAGTTATAAATATCCTTGTTGTACACAAAATCTATATTCTTTATAAGAATGTGTTTTATGTGCGCTCTCTTATCAACTATTTCGAATTCAAACCCAGTTCAAATATCGAACGGAAGCGGATACTGATTCTAATTTCAAACTAAATATCGCAATGTTGCTATTGATAAAATTTTTGTGACGGTTATGTCGCTATTATATTGAACGGAAATTTGAGATAATAACCAATGATGGGACAACAGTGTATAGAGTTCAGATTAGATAATAATAGTTAGAGAAACTAATGCACTTATTGGAGAAATAATGTTTGATATGAAAGTATTTAGACATATATTAAAATAAGATTTTAACGATAGTTATATTACGGAGCGTCGCCGAAATAGAAACTATAAAAAATATATATTTATATCTGACACAACATACGAAGTAATATTAAACGACATATTGATGCAGCCGTTGCTGTTTGTAATAATTCAGAATGTATGCATTTATATTGTAATGCATTGAATATAATCTATGGGTAAAGGATCCGGTCGGACCGAGCCCCCGTATTACGCATTATCTCAAGGTAGCACAAAAAGCAAAATGATATATTTGAACAATACCGGGTCGCCCACGTGAAGCAGATGCACGAATTATATATGCTAATGTATGTTATCCTTACTTCGGACCTCCTGCCTCGACTGGCGCACCATCGATGGATTTCAAAAAATCGATTGATTCTTATCGATAAAATTATTCCTATTATACTATGTATAAAAAATATATCGAATACTTCTAAAGTCATTAAAGTATATTAGATTTAAAGTGAATCGTCATCAACGGAATGTAGCTTCTTTTTGTACGTCAGTCAGTAACGAATGTCTTTTGATTATCTATAATATGCGAATACCACGTGAATGACCGGGCGACCTCCCTCCACTGGCACCCGGCCAGAACTGATAGATCATTCACAGTCCACTTCTTTAACGTTCGATGAATCGCGTTCGATTCTAAAATCAAATATTCAAATTCGGAACAGCGACACTAATGAGCCAATAACTCGAGAGACAATAGCGGCGTGGGCGTTCCAAATTCAAAATCACAAAAGAATATTAATGTAACACTCCGTTCAAATAAAAGTTACATATTCAAATATAGAAATATGATGTAGTCGGCGGGCGTTTATTAAATATTGTTTTCTGTTTATTATTAAATTTTTCTCTAGAACAATAGAAGTAACAAACATTCTATCTTTGATATTCGACTGTGTAATGTTATATCAGCGAACCCTAATTATCTCGCGATCTAATTTGAATGATGACGGCGACAAACTTTTTCATACCAATTTGAATTATCGGCGGCATTGTGACGGATTCGATTCTTTTTTTCTCGTTCCCCTCCACACAACAGCACACCTTTAATCGTATTCAAATTTGGTATACTCTTTTTTAAATATAAATATTGTTTATGATTTCTGTCCCCTGTGCTCTTTATTACCGCTTCCTGCTGTCAACGATTGTGAATGTAACGCCGATGATGTAGGACACATGCGCGCGATTCTACACAATAGTTTTGTTTTTTCTTCTCTGTTTTTTTTTTAGCTGTCAAAAGTCCAAAACGCAATCTGCCAGCATTGTTCCCCATAATGTCGGATAATTATTCACATTTGTGTCTTACCTGTATTATTGTTATAAGGTAAGGTAAATTTTAGTCAGCTTACCCTAATATATCGAACTGGGCCGTGGATGTGTTACATTTCTCGTCCAGTTATCACATTCTACCTGAGGCGATTCATTCCTAGGAGCATATCTGTCGTAAATGACAGGGCGAATAAAAAAAAATATTACATCATGTCACGACATCTTGAAATTTGATATCCATAGACAATTAAACGATTAGACATAAAGGATAATAGGATTAGAATTCTTTTGTGTTACAAAAAAGGCAATCAGGGATCGATCAAGGAACAAATTAGAGCAATGGCGGTTTCTTTGTCTTGGCTCTAATGAGTTTTTAAGTCGATTATGGCAATTTTTCATAGAAAAACGCCTGTAGTGATGTATCGGTGGTATCAATCACTGTTGCCCACAAATGCCCCTACCTACCGGCACAGCCATATCGGATATGTATGAATGACGCCAGGCTGGATTTTGATTTCTACTTTGGACACTATTTGTGTACGAACTTTGTGTTTACGTATGAGTTAGTTGATGAGTCCCGATGAGTTTGATCTTCAATACATTCGTAGTTCTACGCTACTGGACACGAACAGTTCAAAATAAAATTGAAACGAATTTGTTATTTTCGAAAAAAATAAAATTATATTCATCTTTTTATCGGCTGGATATATATATTTTTTTCGCGCTCGTGAACGTCGAGGTTTTCGAAAGCTCTTTTAAATAATAAAACTGACGATAACTCCATAAAGGGTAACGTGCGAATTGAACCATAAACCAAAATAAACTGTCAAAAAATAAACAGTTAAAAGCCCGCCCGGAACTGTCCGTCACATTCCATATTCAAACGGGCCAATGGCTGAATGGCTGTATTGTTTTTAAAATACGAACGCATAATGGACGTTTAGTATTTATTTGTTGTTGTTGTTTTTTTCTTTCTTTTCTTTCAGAAATCGTTAATCGGCTTCTTTCACTTCATTTGTGTTTTGATCGTTTTGAGTTTCGTGCACGTGTCGATGCCCGTGTATTATATGTTAATTGTTAATTAATTCGTTTTAATCGTACTATCTGTTCGCGAGTGATTCGTATGTCTTTATTATTCGATATTTGTAAATCGATATCGTTTTAATAATCGATTTTTTTCAACGAGTCGTTTCTGTTTTTTTTTTTGTTTCGGTCGTGTTTTAATCGCCGGTTCATTGTTTCACGTCGAATTGTTCTTTAACACGCGGTGTAATTCAATACGAATTAACGGGGGACTTTTTTAAATGAACTGTCAAATGTAGTTTTTTATATTAATTTGATTATTCAGGATGGACGACCTCTTTGGCTGTTTGGCTGTTTGTTTTTCAACTCTCGCCTCGTTCGATTCCGCAGCTTGTTTTATATTAAGTTCAATGTTCTGTTGTGTTAGTGATAAGTTTTTCTCCGTAATCATTACGTCGGATACAGTTTCCCTGAGAGCACATCGTCCGCCAGCCGTTTATTAGATCCTCGTCCTCAATAAAATCAGCCAATAAGATTTTTATTCAAAGAAAAATCTTACATATAAGATTTGGGCGTGTCTCGTCCAGGCACGCCTTGAACTCAGCCCTGTATAAAATAAAGTCTGTTTTCCAATAACGGTTATCGACCTTCGATCGGTTCCGAACGCCCTCACTATCTTACAAGATATCGAGAACGCCTTCTTAAAAACATCCAAAAAAACATATTTTCAACCTTAGTGTGCACACGTTAGGAGCTCATATCGCGCGGGAGACGCTCACGTTGAACCTATTGATGATATCGGTTTTCCATTAACGCTCCACGTTCATATTGGACTCTATGCCGTGCGTGTAGGGTTCCGTTTCGTGTGTGCTGTACACAGGAATGTATTGACGTGTTATCGGATATGCGGTCGTCCTTGTCACTCCCGCTGGTGGCTCGTATGTGCGTCCTTGTCGCCGCGGGATGAAGACAGCTTTTCTTTGCGATGTCTGCGCATTCTTTTCTTAAAAGTAAGCAATAATATTCGTGGTGGAGCTCGTTCTGAGCCGCAGACATATTTCGGATGCTACTTATTCAGCCGGGAGTCCTTTTAAATAAATTGAGTTGGAACAAACATTGAGCATATACAGGATGCTTGTAAAATTACAAAGATCTATACTAGATGTTGGGTTATTATAAAAATATAGTTGTCACAATAAATAATGCATTAATCCAGTATAAATAATAATCCATCAATGTAGCCGTATGTAAACTTGATGCATTTTATTATGTTTTGTTAGTGTTCGTGTTTTTATAGTATCGTCTTGAACATATGATACATGTGCCGTCACAATGGTTTTTATTTATTTGTTGTTATAGTAAATCTGGACTTTATGATCATAATTAGATGATGTTTTGTTTTTAAGGTGTGTTTATTTAATACGTGGAATATATATGTATGGGAACCGTTCTGTTTGTCTGTTCTGAGCCATGCTTAACTTTTATTCAGGAAACACAAAATCATCAAAAACATTACAAGTATATATTCTATAGAAATCATTATTTAAGAGAAACAAAGTATAGATATTTAACATCTATAATTAATAATTAATATGGATAAATCAGATTTTTTTGTGTGTATAAATGAAATATTGGATCATTAAAATTTAATCACCGTACTAATGAAAGATTAAAAAACTGTTAAATTATATTAGGGAAGGTGAGCGAGTCATCAATATGGGAATCTCCTTTTTTTATTCTGACGACAATTCTTTTTTATTATCGTCGTAAAATAAATTCATAGCTAGGTATGGGTGATAGTACTTTGATCATATCGAACTCACAAATCTCTTGTAATAGACAAAACTGACTTTTATGACGTCTTAGGTATATTTAAACGAAATTTCTAATATCGAAGCGATATATTGTAATACATATATCGTGGTACAGCCAGCTCAGACACACGATTCAATGGAAACGCGACTGATTTACATTAAAAATCATTTTGAATGCGAGACGTCATCCATACATTATGCTGTGGATCTTATGTTGCTTGTATAGAGTCTGTTATTGTTCATTAACACTGCTAATGAACTAAATAAAGACAGACAGACAGACAGTTCCGTTATATATAATGATATTAATACTATATCGACACGATTATATTTAAATTACTCACAACGTACCTATATAATCTAAATATATGTACACTAACTAGCTTTCCGCCCACAGCTTCGCTCGCGTGGAGTTCTGTTATAAACCTTTCAAAAGTCTGGGATAAAAACTATTCTATATTCTTTCTCAAGGTCGACTCTATGTCTGTACCAAATTTCATTTAAATCAGTTCAGTGGTTTAGGCGTGAAAGCGTAATAGACAGACAGACAGAGTTACTTTCGCATTTATAATATTATTAGGGATTATCTTGTACTAATTAATTTGTCTTAATATGTATCTGTATCTTTATTATTATTCTATATCTAATAAAATAATATTTGCATATATAGATAGATATTATTAGAGTAAAAAAAAATCTGTCATCCATCAATTTGATGTAACCCCAGCTATAGGTCAAGCATCTTTATTGGCAATAGCTCGATTCAATATTAATAAGCAATATCCGCTAACCTTTCAAACAGATTGCACGTGTCGATTGAATATAATCAAAAATAAACTCTAATATAACGAATTAAAGTATAATTTACAATGAAAAATTAATAACTCGTATATGAATCGATGTATGGATCAATATTCTGTATGATACTAAGTAATGTAAGAAATTATATAACAATAATTAAAATAAATTTTTTAGCCACTAAATAAATAAAAAATACGTAATAATTCTAATCGGACACCAAATTCTATGTTAAACTAACGGTTTGACCGGGAACTATTGACCCCAATTAAGGCGATGGCCCGTGACAGGATACACAAGTAATCCGGGATTATTACGATAAAACACCTCTTACTGGACATCTTTCATTAACTGTTACCAGAGTTAGCCAGGGTTCGCTGTGACGTCACTATTATATTTATTTATAACATATATTAAATAAATTTTTTATAAAGAGTGTCGTAAAGTGTCCTATTCTCAGTCAAGAAGTGTCTCAAATCCACTTACAAGTAATGATAACTTTTTGTTACATCAGTGATACATTCATAGTTATATTTCATATTTATTTATCATGTTATATCTGTTTGTGTAAGATGTTTATGGCGTTTGAATTGGTAATGAACGATAAATATGTATTGTATTTGGTACAGATGGCGGCCCTAGCGCCCGGGGGCAGAGATCGAAGGCCGGACGTCCTCTAGCCCTCAGACCGATACTATGAAGTATTTATTGAGTTGCGGCTAACCAAAAGTATTTTATTGTTGAGTTAGACCCTTCCAGTGCCCTCACCGACGATCAAATACCAACTTTATGATGCAGTGTTAAGGTCATGTTTTGAGTGACGCGACCGTGTTACACTTGTATTAATTGCCGTTGTTTTGGTAAGTGAAATGCGATAATTTGCGACTGTTTGTATTGGACTCCGCTGTCCGTTTGTTTTGTAATTTGAAAGCTTTTTGACGCTATTTTCTTAAATAATGACTTGCACTGTTCCGTCGTTCTTTAAGGTTTAATTGTTAAGAACACCGAGGTCAAGTGTCACCGTTTTTGACATTACTTATATTTATGAATATCTGTTTCGTTCAACGGACGTTTAAGATACTTAGTTAGAGACGATTAATGACAGTTAGTAAAACGTGAGATGAACACCTTAGCTGGCAGTATTAAATGAAGACATAATTTAACGTGCGAGCCCTTGTTGTTGGAAGTGAAAGACTTTATAAAAAGAAAGTTCAATAGTATTAAATATCTACGGCGCTAATGGCGTTATCGAAGTGCCAACAGGTGTCGGGAATCAAACCCACTGACATTAACACGTCACATCTGCTATCGGACGTCTATTTTGGAATTCAATAATATCGTTAACATTTGGACTATAAGAACACTATAGACTATTAGACTATAGGTGATATTCATGGAATCATAGTGACATGTCATAAATCAATGTCCACGGACTGTACTGTAACAACCGGCTGGCATAATAAAAGAGGAAACATCCCAACAAAAGATAAAAAGTAAATAAATTCAACAATACAATCGTTGAAAGGCCAATAAAGAATATAAAATAGAAAATATGAGCAGTTTACAAGGAGTCGATGGGGCGAAGGCGGGAATACACGTATCTTTATCGAAACTCATCCGATTTCCGTAACGGATGTGGCGGGAAGTGCGTTCAGCGGAAAATAAGCGGAAGTTTGACGGAGAGAGAGAGAAAAAAAATACACCGTACAAGAAAAGATATTTGCATGCGAAAGGGCACTTTTGTGTATCGACTGTAAATTTGTCGGTTTGACAATTCGGAGCGGTTGGCGACACTTTGTTATGGTAATGCGAGTGATTCGATTCTAAATTCCGAGCTTTGATTTCCATCACTTGCGAGGTCTGTATCGGCGCGGCGTTATTAAAGGTAATCACAGCTCGGATGTTCGGATGTGGTCGTCGAATACGCGGCCCGCTAATTAGGCAGGTGATTCACTAATTCGTGGACGGAATTCGTCTTAATTCCGCTGCCGCTCTATCCTGGTGCACCATCGGCCAGTGTGGGAACGTCACGTAGAATAATCGGCATCCGAACAAAAAGGCGAACTCGCTAACGTCTTGACAACCCCGCTCCAAAACTTCCATGGCCCAATTGATTTAGGACCTTTCCGCTTAGAGTTTAAGTTTCATAGTTCACTCGCAAATTAAGAGTCGAATTAGCAAAGTTGTGAACTCGCTGCGAATTTTCTCCAGATTAAAACTGATTTCGTAATTACAATGACAAAAACTTGCTGTTTGATATTTCTTTGTTAGTAAAAAGGCGAACGGTATTGAAATAAAATATAAAAAATATATATTTATGTATGCCGTGTTTGAATTTTTGCTGAGGCCGACTCGTTTTTAGGGATAATGTTTAAGCAATAATTTTAAACAATGTAATATTAAATAATGTATATATATTAGAATACTGAATAATACTATATTTTCATATATAGTTCAAACATTAATATCCATACTCTATTCAATTACGTCTGTTATTTGATTAAATAAAATTTCGGTTAAAATTTTTTACTCCTCTACATAGTCGTCATAGTATTAGGTATATACTCCTCTATAAAACCTCACAATAAAGAAGTCATTATATATATATAGGTATGTGGTTACATAACAGTCAGCAACTTGCGGTGGCGAGTCGAAAGTCGAATGGAACTGATTGTATCCGAGACGATCGATTAAGAGTCACTTCCTCTGCGCGCGCGCAGCGAGGTCAGGGCCACTGCGTGTGACGTCACACCTATGACATCACAACACCGCCGCCGACGAGCGAATTTACACTCTAACATCACACGCGCAAGACTGACATTGCTCTGTATCAAACATCCATTAGTTGCAGATGGACTTAGCACACTCTTAAAAGTGATTTGCGGTGTCTTTTGACATGCGAGTTTATGTCTTACTACTGATATCATAAAAACATTTTTTCTGTGCGAGCAGCCGGACGGTTTGTGGAGCATTATTAATATTGCTTTTTCAATTATGGCCGATATAATCGCGAATACTATACGTCACTTCCGTTCCCGTTCGTTCTTACACGATTTTTATTGTTCTCGAGTCTCAAGATATATCTGTCAAGATTCAGAGCGATACATTGTAATGCATCTGTATATTACGCGGAGGCAACTCAGTGTCACGATCGACACTCATAAATTTCATGGTTATTAGCGTTTTTTTTGCGAAATAATAACGCGAACGGGCCCCGACCGAACTGATCATTAATGATCCGATTCACGGCGTTTAATACAACAACAAAAAAAACTCAAACTTCAATTCGATCAGGAATCGAAGGGTTCGGATATGAGAGACGCGTCGGCGGCGACATCAAAGCGACAATTTTGACAATTAAAACGCTACGCATCGCGCACATTGTCTTCTCAAGACCGCGTGTCCTTGGCAGGAATTTGAAATACAGAACCTCTTTTTATTGCAAACCGGTTTAATTTGCGCCAGCCCAGCTTTTTGTTCCATCTTGTTTATGCCTCGTTTAATTTTTAATTTTATCCGTCAGCATGTGTCGGTAGGCTGTCGACACGGCGGGACAATCACGAGCCATCACGAGCCATCTCGAGCCACGTTAGACACATCGAGGTATCGAGGATACGAGCCGGGTCCATCATGAGCCACTATAAATAAACATTACAACCGACAAACAGTCCCAAAACGAGCGGACCTATTATAATATTTAATTAAAATCCCAATAATGATGTAGTAGGTATACATATAGCATAATGATCGGAATCGATTAAGGCCCACCTATAACTGCTTTATCGAATAATTTATTAATATAACTTACATCTTACAGTTTTAAAACATCGTAAAATTAGAACTATAGGTCGTTATATCGAATTTTAATGTATAAATTTTAGTTCAATACGTGCCAAGAGACAGCGGTGTCCGAATAAGTCAGCTTTTTATGGGCAATAAAATTTTAAAACCCCCATTGGTAGTTGACTATCTGTTGTCAAACCATCGATTTTAAGATTCGGATCCGAATTTGATGTGGGTTTACGATACGCGCACACACACACACTCACACACACATACATATACATACAATAAAAATGCGTGATTATTACTTTTCAAATGAAAACATAAATTTTTATACGACTTAAATAACGTTATGAACATAGATCGTATATTAGATTCGGTAGGACGATATTAATGTATAGATATTAGTATATTTTGTTACGTTCACCTAAAATATTACGACACAACGGCTGTCCGTTCAATTGACTGAGGATGAAGAACGGATTGATAGATTTAGCTCAATTGGTACGGACGGGACTCGATCAAAACGAACCCAATTAAACCCAAAAACAATAATACAAACAAACAAACAAACTATATTAATATTAAAGAACAAACATAAATATTCAATTGTAACGTATTGGTATACAACGCTCTCCTTGTGTAATGGCACGATTTGAATAAAGAAAACCGACAATAAAATCGTATCCCCCTTTAGGTTACCGAAGACAGGAATCAATAAGGCGAGTTCAGTGAAATTTTCGCGCGTAAATCGCTGTGGGGCGGAAACAAAGATGGCTCACTTAACATAGAACGTGATCGGTATGAAAAAAACTGCTTAAGCACCACTTTACCTGCTTCGAGGGGATTTCTTTTCAAGTTGTAAACAAGCTCAAGACATTCGGTGCTTTGTTTTGTTTATCTGTAATTGTTTTTGTGTGGTTCTGTTTGTTCGTCATTCACAGATAGCATGAATGTACAGTGTCACTGAACTAGGAGTTGAAGTTAAGGAGGATCACAACAATGGTTGTCCTACAACAGGTATAGACGACATTAAAAACCGTATTAAAATACTTGGAATAGTTTAACTTCAAGCAGAAATCTGGTTATTTAATCGTCATCATTTAAAGGTGCGATATACGGATCCGAACACTCAGCCAGCATTAACATGGCAATTAAAGATAAAAAAATTAAGTACTCCTTAAACGACGCTCCGACAATGCGATGATAAAAACATATTTATTCTTATATACATTTTTTTTTCGTTCTGTGTAAGCCCAACTGCATTTTAACAATCCACTACTAAATATTAATTGACACAATACAACAGCAGATGCAAAACAAACAAACGAATGTTGTTCTGCATTTTTATCAACTATTTATACCTTTTGTATGAACGAAGCCGACGACTGAAGATATTAAAATAATTCAATGGAATCCATAGACGTTTTAACATTCTGTAATGTCTGCGAGGTCATATCGAATCAAAGGACGTTAACGCCAAAGAAAACTACAAATTACGATACAAAATATATATATACCCTACCACGGAGAAGCGTAGTCTTGTCGCACAGCGCCAATAAACTCGGCTTCCCCAACTATTGTGTGACTCTTTGATGTTTTTACAATGTTCAACACAAATTGACTGAGTGGATTACACTCCCTTTGACATAGAAAAGTATTACGTATCGATCTTATACTGACATAGAGCATCACGTCTTGAGACCATAAGCAAATTTACACCGAACGGAACAGCGAGGTCGGTTTTTCAGTGCAAAAAAAACGAGCGAACAGGTAATGAGGAACAATCAGTGAACGGTGTTTTATGGGAGAATCGTCTGCGGTGTTATTGCGGCACGAGAAAAAAAAAAGCGGGCAAAAATAAAAAGTCATAGACACATCCCTCGGAGACGCGGGAAATGGTAACAAATTAATAATTAATTTGGACTCGGGAAGCGCCGAAGTTAGGGAATTTGTTCGATCTTTTTGTTACGAATACAAAATTCATCTGGGGAGCAGCTAGTGGAGTTAAAAAAAATGTGTCCCTGTCTGTTATATTGTTTTATTCATAACGTTCGGAAATTGATATTTTAAAGATATAAAATAAAAATAAAAAGTTTTAAATATCAATTTTATGGTAATAGATTATTTTTGTAATGCGGGTGTAGTCGTTAATATTGATCTCATTAGAGTAATAATAAATTATATAACTTTATGGTTCTTCAATTATTTTACAGCACAACATTAAATATCAATTGAACCGAGTATTGTTGGTGATGCTGCCTCTGTTATACATTACTCTGTATTATGACTATTGTTTGTTGATTTTAATCAATCGTAAAAGTTTAAATAATTACTTACTAAAACTGTTTAGAAGAAAAAAAAGGAATTGTGTGGAGAAAATATAAAAAAGGAGCATAATCATCCCGAAAGACGGGTTATGACCCGATGACATTAATAAAAGATTTTATATCACTATAAATAACAATAAAAATATCGTAAAATAGTTAAATTGACCAGCTCGAAGGCACCACGTACTATTATTTTATGGTCCGTTGAAAACGTCCAATCTAACTTCATTATAAGCTAAAAATAATAAAATTACGTTAAGCCCGAAATCCTCGGGCTGTGATTGGTCGGCGATATTAATTAATATTTCTGAACGTGATCACGTGGGTAGCGGGACCTCCAACAAATATACGGATCAGAAGTAGTTATAAGTAACAATTATTATACCAAATACACGCGTACTAAACGAGTGAAACTAAAAAAAATATTCTATATTTCGGACGTTTCTGAACGTATATATGTATGTATAGAAACAGGCAGACGGTGTAATTCTAAATTATGTTTAAAACAATGCCGTTTAAAAAGTTGTAAGATGTCAATAAACAGAGACTGGATTAAAAAACTACCCCCATTCTGAATCGATCCTTTCACACTTCACACAATCGCTCGCGACGGTTGATTTCCGTTCTTAATTCAAATACAAGCTTCTTTTATTTATTTTTTTATATATACATATATATTTTTTTTTAAATTTGAATAAATACAATGGGGCAAGGAACTCGATCGTTAATTCAGACAAAGTAGTCTTGAATTACGATTATAGATTCATTTGATAAGTGACCTCGTTTGGGAGGATATCGCTTATTTATCGATCCGAACTGAACCATCTAATCAAATTTAAAAGGCTCATGCGATTACCTTCAATGGATCTATATTGGTTTATTGATATACCAACTAACTACTACCCACTATATATATTGATGTACTATACTCTACATTATACTATTAAAACCGAGTTTATAAATATAACACGTTATAAAATGATATATATTACGTTTAATAAATGTTTATTCGGTATACGATAAAGTTTTAAAGTCGTTAAAATTTAAAAATAATGTACAAATCGAAAATAGAAGAGCGTATCCGATCAGAAATGTGACATTATATATTAAAAAAAAAAACATAAAGTGGTCATAAACACGAAGGAGGTAATAAAAAATCGGTCCGATGTCGTCTCTCAGCTGTCGCGCGCTATTTCCGAACGCATTTCGGATTTCAAAAATCGAATCCCATCGAACCGCTGCGCTGGTGCTTTTAAAATTAGAACGTGTGCATCGTGGAACATTGCACCTGTGTTGCTCCTGTGCATATGAATATTTTTTTTATTTAATACATCCATACAATATACGTATGTGTCCACTGAAATAACTCACTGCCAAGTTTTGGATACAGCATTCGAAATGTTTTTTTTTTTAATACGTATTTATATATTTAGAGTATATTATCGTTAATTATTTAAAAGTTTGGACATCGACGTAAAGACCGCGTGCCAAGTGGGTGAGTGTCAATGGAACTATTTATTGTCATTGTTTTCAGAAAATTATGAATGACAGCGACATTAAGACGGAACAATACTAGAAGATAAAGTATACGGCGACTTTACAATGATAAGAAGTAAAATCGTTAATAGAAATATTGTATAATAATTTTGTTAATTCAACAGTAGGTATCTCAACGACATCCCGATCTAAGAGCTCCCTATTATAAGTGTCACCGATACAAATCCCACGCTCAGATATGTCAAAGGCATCAGGACGGAATTAAAACGTCAGTTAAGGCAAACGGTAGATAATGCTATCAGAATACGTTGATTAAGAAATGCTCACAGATATTTCGCTTAATTGATTGCATACCGTCCGCC